CGGGAGATGGGGCTGGCATCGAGGTTTGGGTGCTGGGCCTCGGTGGGATGCTCTGGGCAGCAGGGTGGGTGCAGTGGGGACAGGTGTGACTTGGGACCCTGTCCCTGCTGTGAGAGATGGAGCAAAGGCTGGCAGTGACACCAGGGATAGCTGTGGAACCGGGAGCAGGGGAGTCAGAGCAGCCTCGGAAAAGGGATGGAAAAAGCAATTTGCAGTTTCACATGCAGCCCTGGAGAAAAATCCCAGCCCACCCTGGGGTGGCGGTTCCAGCGTGAAACTTCGGGGTGTTGCAGCTTGGGGAGGGTGTCAGTGTTTGTTTGGTGGCTCTCAGTGTCTGGTGGCTCTCAGCGGGGCTGCCTTGCACTGTCCCCTCTTGCTTCTGCTCCCGGCGGGACAGCAGCTCCCCCTGAGCAGTAACCGTGTCTCCTCTCTCTCCCCGGGCTCTCCCCTCCCTCCTGCCCAATTCCCACCGCCTGCTGCTGCCTGCTCCTGCTCCTGCTGCTGTAAGTACCTGCTGGGTCCCCAGAGGTGGTGGGATGGCTCTGCCACCTCCTGTCCCTGCTGCTCCTTCCCCTGCGCCTCCCCTGGCCTCCGGTGCAGCAGAGCTTCCCCCTGGGCTCCCCCGTGTGCTCTGTCCCCAGCCTGAGCACTCTGTGTGTCCCTGCCATGAGGACCAAGCCCTGCCAGAGCCCCTCTGCTCCCCCCACCTTTCCCTGGCAGAACCCAGAGAGCCCCATCCCTGCTGGCTCTGAGCCTTCCTCCGTCCCTCTCTCACCTCCTGGGGACAGGGCAGCGCGGGGAGCTGGGATGAGCTGTGCAGGAGCCAGAACTTGTGGCACTGTGGGCTCTCAGCCATTTGGGTCCTTCCCAGCCCCATCAGTGACATCCCCTGCTTGTCACTGTCCCCACCGTCTGCCTCAGCACCCCTGAGGAGGTGCCAGCAGTGGGAAAACTGATTATTCCCAGCTCTGCTCCGTGCTGTCCCAGACACAAATCCCTGGGGAGGGAAGAGGATTTGCCATCATTTGGGGTGGATCTCTGCAGATCCTCACCTTGGCTCTGCCCGCTCCTTTTGCAGACAACCCCTCTGCAGCCACAAAAAGCAAAACCAGCGAGGACATCGCGCAGTCCTCCAAGTACAGCCCTGCCTACTCCCCCGATCCCTACTACCACTCCGAGTCGGAATACTGGTCCTTCCAGGGCTCTCCCAAAGGTAACAAATTCCCCTTGGGCTGGGAGAAAGGCAAACACATTCCTGACTCCAAATTTGCTGGGAGGAAACCTCGTTTTGAGCTGGGTCTGGACAGAAAAGTGGGGTTGGGCTGAGATACCTGCCAAGGTGACCCCAAAACCCAAGGAGTCTGTGGGAGACAACTGTCCCCATGTGGTTGGGGACATCCCCCTCCCTGCCTGCCCCACTTCTGTCCCCACCTGACCCCTGGTGTCTCCTTGCAGCTCCCCGGGCCCGGAGGTTCTCGTCAGGGGGTGAGGAGGACGGGTACGACCGGGGCATGCACAAGGTGAGTGCCAGCCCTGCTGGGCACAGAGCCAGCACCAAACCGTCCCCAGCTCAGCCCAGCTCTGCCACCCGAGGAGGTGCCACCACCATCCCTGCTCCTGCCATCTGTCCCCTCCTGGCCACCCCCACGTGGCTCTCAAGGAGGGGTCGAGACACCCCCACCCCAGCACCTCATCCTCGGGAGGTGCCAGGGGATGCTGTGCCCTTCCACGATGTGCCAGAGAGGGCTGGGCAGGGAAGGGAAGAGTGCAAAGTGGCTTTTTCCCCGCTGCCAGATCCAGAGTGGCATCGGGAGGCTGATCCTGAGGGAGGAGATGAAGGCTCGGTCCAACTCCTACGCAGACCCCTGGACCCCCCCCCGCAGCTCGGCCAGCAGCAGAGAGGCGCTGCACACAGCGGGCTACGAGGGCTCCCTCAATGGCTGTAAGGCTGTCCCTGCCCGTCCCCCTGTCCCCCTGTCCCCCTGTCCCAGCCCCTCGGGAAGTCTGAGGGGTGGAGAGGGAAGAAAGGGATGAGGAAAGGGGTGGTGAGAGGTGCTGGCCATGGAGCCGGGCTCGGGAGGGTCTTTTCCTCTCTGGAGGGCTCCATCCATTCCCTGTGCCCCAGCTGGGGTGGGGCATTGCCCAGTGGTGTCTGGGCAGCCTGGGAGTGCCTCGTGGGACGGCTGAAGGATCCCCTGGGATGTGGCAGCACAGCCAAGATCACAGCCAGGGTTGCTGTGACCTGTTCTGGACTGGCACCTCTGGGAGTTCCTGGCACCCCAGGGCTGCCTCTCCTCTCACAGAGCCCCCAGGGCACCCAGCCCTGCCCTTGGGGACACAGGGGGGACACTGCAGAGCCTGGCAGCACAGATGGCCCTGTCCAGTCCATGCTCTCCTTCCTCACATCTGCCCTCACAGAGCTGTTTGGGGATGCTCAGGGAGCCCCTCAGCCCCGTGGGAGCTCCTGGGAGCCCCAAGGAGGATCTGTGGGGCTGGGAATGGGCAGCTCTGCATGGCATGGGGTGCTTGGCCCTCCCTGAGCTGGCTCTGCTCTTCTTGCAGCTCCCCGAAGCCACTACCTGGCCGACAGCGGTGAGTGCCTGACCTGAGCCCTGCCCAGCCCGAGCTGGGAGCAGGGAGGGGACAAGGGAAGCAAGGAGGGAGCCCTGGCAAGCCTGGGTTAGGATAGAGCTGAAGCAGGGAGGACGAGTCGGGGAAGCTGAGAGAAGGAGAATGTTGCTCTGAAGGGTGAGGTGGTCGGGCTGCCACAGGATTTTGGGGAGAGGAATATCAGCACGGGAGGAAGGCAGGCTGGAAATGAGCTGGAGCTGGAAGGAGGCAGAGCTGGGAGCACAGAGGCAGAGGGTGGCCTGGTGGGGGCTGTCCTGGTGTGTGAGGCTCATTCCTGATGCCCCTTGGTGGATTCTTTGCAGATCCCCTCATTTCTAAGTCGGCCTCCCTTCCTGCCTACAGGAGGAATGGGCTGCACAGGGTGAGTGCCTCCTGCTGCTGACAGGCATTCCCCATCCTCCCAGGCATTCCCATTCTCCCAGGCATTCCCCATCCTCCCAAGCATTCCCATTTCTCCCAGGCATTCCCCATCCTCCCAGGCATTCCCCATCCTCCCAGGCATTCCCCATCCTCCCAGGCATTCCCATTCTCCCAGGCATTCCCATTCTCCCAGGCTCCTCCAAGTCCTCAGAGCTCCCTTTCCATCGCTGGAATGTTCTCTTTTCCCCTTCTCTGCACTCCTGCTGCCACTGCTGTCCCGTGCCAATCCAAAATGGCCCTTGTTGGGATCCAAAGTGCCCTGTCCAGGCAGTGCCTGCCCTGAAACTCCCACGGGGTGATTTCCAGAGGGATGCTGGTGCTGCTTTCCAGCAGAAGAGCTTTGCTTTATATCCTGGGCTCAGGATTGCTTGGGATCAGGAGTTCTGCTCCTGTCTCCATGTGAACTCTTATCCTGGGTGGGGGAACCTCGGTGTCCTCCCTTGGGGACGTGGGAGGTGTCACCTGGGGTGCCTGGGGGTGCCTCCCTCTCACTGCCCCCTGTGTCCACCCCTCCTGCAGCCTCCCAGCGCGGAGCTTTTCCACTACGACAGCACCAACGCCGTCAACTGGGGGATGCGAGGTGAGGGGGGCACGGGGCTGGGGACCCTGCAGGTGCCCTGGGGGAGATGCTGGGGGGCTGCCAACCCCCCCTGCAGATGGGCAGGGGGGCGGGAGGGAGAAGGGGGGGATA